TGCTGGATGCAGAGCGAGAAACCACTCAGAGGAGAGGACTAGTAGAATAATGGAAAAGACTGGTTATTTTGAAAGCCCTCTTTGAGCAGTCGAACAATCCTCAAGGGCCAGGAAGGTGGAGGCGAGATTGTGAAGATGCTCCCTGCTTTGGAGGAGCCCAGTGAGCCGGCTGCAGGGAAGGGGGTACCGGGTAATTCCTTGTGGAGTCCCTTACGTGGCCAAGAATGTTCATAGCAGGCGGCTTAGTAGGTGAACTTCACCAACCTTCTTTCCACCTGCAGACGATGGTTTCCTATAATTGCAGCTGGTGAGAAGACAGGGGAAAAGCTAATGTTTAAATGAAATAGAATAGTTGGTGCTCAGACACCTTCAAACAAATGTCTGGCTGAGTGACACTAATGAGCTCTCAAAATCTGGAGCCTGCCTGACTTCCCCTTATGGGGTCACCATGGGTGGACTGGGGACCTGGGGTAAAGCCTGGCTGGAGATCTCCAAGCATGTTTCTGATCTGCAGTTGACTCAGAAATCCACAGGAGGAAAGGCCACTCCACCCATGCCTGATGCACGGTGGAATCACATTCTTGGAGCCCGGGGTGGACATAAGCTCAAGGAGCCGGTCAGCTCCCTCACTGCCCATCAGAGGCCCCTGGAAAACATCATTTTAGCATGATGCCTTTGGGGTGGGTGAGATCAGCTGGGAGCTCTGAGATGAGTTCCTGCTCTGTTGCTATTCCTCCCTCTGTCCTACCTGGGGCCTCACCGTGGGGGCCACAGAGGGTGGGCAGCAGGACGAGATGCCAAGCACTTTCTGCACCTGCAGCTCTTCAGGACGCCCAGAAATGTGCTGAGCGCACACCAGGGACTTGGAGCAGAGAAGCTTCTCTGGTTCCAGAACTCAACAGAACTGAAAGTGAAGAGAAGGACAGGCAATTAGCAGGTGCCAGCCCCTCCAAGTCCCATTTTCCTAAGCATTTTCTCAGAAGTGACCCATTTTGCCCTCTGAACCATGAGGCTGGATCAGGGCTCTGCATCTGGACAGCACTGCGCTCTGGCCGGGGCAGTGTGCTGGTACAGGTTTAGCTGCCCACGGGGTGCTTGGGGTGGGGAGCCCTGTTGTGTAGCACCTGCTAATCCCGTGGTGTCAATGCTGCCACGGAGGGGAGGGCAGTTTCAAGCTCCCAGCAGGGAGCCAACCAGCCAACTCCTGTGCTTTGAGGACTGGCTCTCACACACATGCACAGGCCGCTCTGGCACAGCTCTGTGTCTGGGCACCTCCCCTCTGCTCTGTCATACCTTATTTACTCTCGTCTCATAAAGGCCGAGGAGCTAAAAACATTTTTGGCAACAGAACCAGACAAGCTGGCTCTGTAAAAAGCAAACGGAGGGTGTAGTAAACTTGAGTTCGCTTTTTGTTTGTTTTGTTTTGTTCTAAATAAGAGTGAGAGTAATGGTAAAGACACGCAGGAAGCTTGAGTGCCCTCAACTGTGAGCCCTCAAGAATCCACACTGTACCCCGTCTCAGACGGCGAGGTCTGCATCTCCCGGAGTGAGGGAAGGGGGGTTATATTTCTTCAACTTTTCTCAACCAGAGAGTGGCCTGTCTCATACAGTGAAGCCAATCTTCACTATCTACCAGGGTGACTTTTACCCAGGAAGTTGTTTGTTTGTTTGTTTGTTTTAATATTGATAACATTTTCCAGAAAATAACTAATTGTACTTTACCCACCTTCATGAAATGGTTCTTAATTTCAGATCTATCTTTAGTGACATGAAGAACAAACATGAAGTAGCTTTGTAGCTTGACTTGAAACGTTAGGCTCACTGCTTCCTTAGCATTTCAAAAGTGATCACTTTGACGAAATCATGGTCATAGGTTCACAGTGTGTGCACCAGAATTCCCCCGGGCAAAGAGAGCCAACGGGGAAGCCAGGACCCGCCATCAGGAAGAGAAATGGTTTAATAAACACGAAAGAAACTCAGTCATAACCTAGCAAGGCCAGGGAATGATCRCTAATACAACACGTCAGTAACCTAACGTAAACATCCAGATCAACCTGAAGCCCCTCTCACTCCTGTGTACCTCGTGCTTATTCCAGATGAGAAACAGCTGGGAAGAGAGTGGGAAAAGAAAGAAAATAATGTCCACCCAGCATTTCCAAGGAGTCGGTGTGCGTGATTTTATCTTGATGCTAACTGGACTGGTTTAGCTTTTAATCTGTTCACTTAACCCTGGGCTCTGGGCCGGGTGGTGAGGGGCGGGCCGTGGGAGATGAAGTGACTTCAGAGCCAGTTGCTGGGCTCACTCTCCAGCAAACTCACCAGGTCCTCACGTCTCGGAAGCCATTCAGGTCACTGTAATTTGCTAGACACGTCCGCCGTTATCCACAGCTTAGTGCTCGAGTCTGCGCCAGAACCAGAACAGCCAGGCCCTGCCAAGGCTCCATCATGGCTGACGTGCGCCACAGAGGTCAGCAGGCCACCCAGCTCAGCCGCACCTCGCTGTCACCAGCCTGCGACCCAGAGACTCTCTGCTGCGACCCAGAGACTCTCCAAGGCAGCCCATAAAGCCATCTGAAAGTGACTGTTTACCAAGGGTAACCGGGGAGCAGTGATTACAGCCTTGGAGTTGACACACGTAATTAGGTTAGAAAAGCTCTCTGAGTGAAACTGAAGACAGAAACTTACAGAAACAGATGCTTCTCCAGGTAATGGCGTTGGGCGAGCGCCACGGAGCTGCGTCTGGGAGGTGCTCAAGGCTGGAGCGTCCTTCAATGGAGGCCGACCATAACCTGGAGATCCGCACATCAGGGAGATGATGGCCCTGCAGCCGGCCAGCCAGCCGTGGGGCAGAGGTCAGGCCTGCCTGGTGCCTGCGCTTGCGGCCTCTTTGGCAGGCTTGGACTTACAGCAGCCAGGGGACAGCGTGGAATCTCCCGCAGGAGCACAGCACGCCCCAGGGAAAAGGTGGAGGCCCTTGGACCAGAGGACAGGGTGCTTTTGCCTCAGTCCAACCAAAATGCCCACCAAGTCTCAGGAGGCCTCGGGACACTGTTCAGCTAGTGTCCCCTTCTCTTCTCACATTGAGAAGGAAAAGACGTGGGGACTCTGAGGAACATGCTAAAAACTGGAGCTACGTGCTGCCTGCCCTGCCAGCCACTGCCTCCGGGCAGCTGGCATCCTGGGTCACCTGGGGGGGGGGACGAAACCCTGCCCCTCAGCAAGAGCCCCACGGCTGCAACTGAACCGCCCGCCTTGGGCACTGTTCAGGCACAGGCCCTGCTTTCCTTCCCCACTGGTGTGTCCCCCTCCCCTGCAGGTCACAGTCACAGTTTAGTGCACTGGTAGAAAGGAGGGCACTCTGGACTTTTGTCCCCCACTCCCCAGGCTTCGCCCCTGGCCTGCACTCTAGGCCTTCCTTACTGAGCAGCCCCCAGCAGCCAGTCTCCTGGACGCATCCTCCACTCTCCTCTAGTCCAGGCCCCACTGTCCTCTCAGGCTTGGTGACACTCCTGTTCTTACCCTCTCCACTCTCCGTAGGAGGGGATCTCTATCATGATCTCTGCAAATTCCTGTGCAATCAGGTCATGTCTCCACCTGGCTCTTTATGACTTTCTGCTGCCTCTTGGATAAAATCCTAAATCCCTCACATACCTCAAAGACTTCGCAGCAGAGGCTGAAGGGGCAGGGGCAGCAGGACACGTGCTCTCAGGCAGAGAGACGTCAGACGCCCCGGCAGGGCCAGGGAGTGAGCGTGTGCTGGCCACGGAGCAGGGGGACGGAGAAGGCCACGTGGTGGGGGTGGGAGTTCCGGGTTGGTCTAGAAAATTCATTGTAAATGGACCTCACGGGAGACTAAGCAAAGGGTTCTAAGAAYAGCTGAGTCACAACCAACTTAAAATCTCCTGAAGGAGGATCAGCTGCGGGTGAGATGGGTGCCCTTCATGCTCCCAGGAGCAACGCCACCCTGGGAAATCTTCCCCACCGTCAGAGAATCACGGGCAGGAGGGGGAGGCCACGGACCCTGGGAAGAAAGAATGTCCCCAGACACCAGATCTGGAGCCAGCACCCTGTGAAGGCAGAGGACAACCCTCCCCAGCAAGGAGAAGTGGGCCACAGGCACAGAGCTGGACGCTGTGGACCACAAGCCAAAGTCTCTTCTGAGGTCCTGGAAGAGTCCCGTCTGTCTAAAAGGCCACTCGTGTCCACACCAGGAGGGCTCTCTTGCTGGAGCCCCTGCACGGCTGAAGGAAGAGCATGCACACTGAGGTACAACACGGAGGAGCAGCCAAGGTTTTCAAAATGTCCTCGTTCCCTGACATTGCATGTGAGCCATAGGGTAGGTCCCATCAGAATGACCAGATGTGGACCAGGAGCACTGGGTGGGTGAGGGACTAGGGTCGAGGGACGAGGTTCCAGGGCTGAGGGTCCAGGGCTGAGGGCCCAGGATGGACAGTTTCCCCCTTCCAGGATGAGGCCCAAGAGTGAGAGTCTCCACCGAGGGCCCCCAGCCCAGTGCAGTGGCTGCACCTGTCTGTCCTGGATCCAGGTGCCATTTGGGCCCCTGTGATCCAACCCTCCCACTGGATGGAGGTGTCTCTGACCTGGCACCCTCTTTTCCTTGTAGCCCTGGCAGACCTCAGAGGACCCAAGGGTCCCGGAGAGGACAGCCCCTGGGAAGGGCACTCGGGAGTCTCCCCACCAAGGTTATCTGCCGAGCCAGGCCTCTACACTGGGAGCTGTCCACGCAGCCAGAGCTGACCCCCAGTGACCCACCTGCCAGTGAGCCCCCTTCTGAATTCCAAGTCACAGCAAGATGTTCTCTCCACCAAAATAAGTTGGATTTTTTTTTCTTTTAGTCTTTCTTATTGCTGTTAGTTTTTATTGACCCAAATGAAAATCTAATGGGATTTCATTATTCCTAATATTTTATAACTTATTAAAAAGTAATAATAAATGTGATTCACATATATTAACTTCATTTTATTGTATTTSTAGGTAATGTAATTACAATATCTTTACTGCTATTAATGAGTACATTAAAATCATCCATAAACAGCAAAAAATTTACTTTATCTTCCTCTGAAAATAATTTTGACATTTTTACTTTTTGGTTTTACTGATGTTATTTATGTTGTTGTACACCTTAACTGGAGCCTTTGTAAGATTATCACTTTAGAATAGCATTTCATAAGTGGATGTATGTAAATATGGACCTTATTAGTAAACTGCTTCCATCTTATTTGATCTCTAGATAGTTTTGTTATCATTGTTTAACAATATCATCTATTAACCCAGATACAGTAAATTTCAACTCTTTTCTAAAGTACTTTTGAATTGTGTCTCACTTGATTTCAACACTGTAGTTGGAAGCTCAGTGGAATTATAATTCTCAAGATAGTGTTTTATAAGTGAAGCTTACTTGAAAATGGATAAGGGTATTGTTTTGCTTTCCCTCTGTTTCTAGGTGGCAATCGCATTTTAATTTTCAATAAAACCTCATAACATGAACTCCAGTGAGAATTTTATGTGAGTTATCACACAACTAGAGACATTTAAAACTCAAAGTCTATTTTTAATCACCAATGATTGAATTTATCTAGTTATAAAGTTAAATAAATTTCAAATTTTAAAAAAATTAATTTTGGAGACACTAAATATGGCCAAAGATTCCTTGCTTCCATGTCCATTATGAATATCAGCATGTTAGCATGTTGTGGGGCGCAGGGAGGCCATGCTAACAGGCAGACACACAGCATCCAATGCTCATGCTGACAAAGATGACCAGAAATCAGTCATTGGCTTCCACCCTAGGAATTCAAAGAAAGATGAGAAAATTCAGCCTAAAGAAATCAGACAACAGAAGTAACACAGATTTAAGCAGAAATTGATGAAATTTAAATGAAAAAAAAAAGAGATAAAGTCAAGGAAACCAAAAGCTGATCCTCTGGAAAAAAAATCAAAAACCTTGATAAAACTCTAGTAGAGAAAAAAAGAGAAAACACATAAATTACCATTATCAGGAATGGAGTCCTTGCTTATCCTCAAAACATTGAAAGGAAATACTATGAAAAACTTGATACTCATAAATTTATTAACTTACATGAAATAGACCAATTTCTTAAAAAGCATAAATTACTAGTACTCACATATGGAGAAATAGGTAAACGGAGTAGCCCTATACAATCAACAATTAATAATCTTTTAAAAAGGGAAGTGTCAGACCAGGTGATTTCATTGATGAATTCCATCAACCATTTAAGGAAGAAATAACACCAATTTTCTACAAACTCTTCCAGGGAAAAGAGGAAGAGAGAACACTTCAATCTTTTGGTGGCTGGCATTACCTTAAAGTCAAAGCCACATGAACATGTTATAACAAAGAGAAGAGTACATACGAAATCTCTCATAAGCAAAAATTCTTAACAATTAAGAAAATCAACTCTTACAATACATAAAAATGATGAATACACCAAGACCTAAAGGCATCCACTCAGGAATGCAAGGTTGGTTTAATATTCATAATTAAGTAATGTAATTCATCATGTTGACAGGCTAGATAGAAAAAWTCATGTGATTATAGCAATAAATGCACAAAAAAGGCATTTTCCAGAATTCTACACCTAGGAATTTAATTAACCTAATAAAGGAAACATAATGCCAACTTACAGCTAACATCAAACCTAAGAGTCAGATACTAAATGCTTTCTCCTGGAAMAGAGAATTCCACAAGGGCATTTTCTCTTACCCTCTTATTCAACATCATGCTACAAGTCCTTTCCAGAGCAGTAAGTAACTGAAGAAAGGGAATTGAAAGACACACAAATTACACAAGTTCACAGGACATGGGAGCCATCTAAAAAAACTGGTTTCCTATACACCAAATATGAACAGTTAGTATTTGAAGTCAAGAAAACAAAACAATTTACAATCAGCAGATATGCAGAGTTACTCTCAGGGAAGAAAGGAGAGTTGCTTCAAAGGGTGCTACTGGAAAATTGGACATCTATGTGCAGAAACACCTTCTTAATGAACCTTTGCCTCTATCTTGTGCCACATATAAAATTTAACTCAAAATGGATCATAGGCCTTAACTGTAATGTGTAACACTTGAGAGCTTTTAGAGTAAACAAGCCCATGACCTTGTGTTAGGCAGAGCTTTCTTAGGGCAAAGAGAGCACACCTCATTAAAGAATAATTGATCAATTAACCATCGCTGTATTTAACAACACTTGTTCTGCAATGGACACATGTGATGGAGGGAAATATTTGACAATCACATAACCATCAATGAGCTTGTATTAAGGAAGTATAAACAATTCTCAAAACTCAATTTAATTAACACTTTTTTTAAATAGACAAAATTTGAATGGACACTTCACCAAATAAGATGCACAGATGGCAGATGAGAAGGTGCTCCACCCGGTTACTCCTGGAGGAGACGTACATCAGAACACGAGGAACCATCACAACACACTCATTACCAAGTGCTGGCCTGAATGTAAAACCCCTGAACTCTTAGACATTGCCTGCAGGAACACAGAACAGGACAGCTCAGGGAGGCAGCGTGACCATCTCTAATAAAGCTGGACACATGCTTACCACATGACCCAGTAATCCATTCCCTGAAACGTTTACCCAAGAGAAATGAAAACATGTCCCCATGAGAAAATAAATAAACAAATATTGTTTTTTAAAAACCTGCACACGAGTGTTTATAGCAGCTTTATCAGTAATCACCAAAAACTGGAGAAAAAAAACCAAAATTCTTCTCGGGTGAACAATGGATAGACAAACTGGTACGTCCATACAATGGGACACTACCAGCAACAAAGATGCCCAACTTCCAAGGATGAAGGACACAGGTGGAGGGCAATCACCACGCTAAGCGAAAGAAGCCCAGCTCAAGGAGATCTGTGCCACGTGGTGCCACTTCTTGGTCATTCTGGCAAGGGCCAAACTCCGGGGACAGAAGGCAATCCGGGTGACTACAAAGGGAGCTGGGAGTCCTCAGGAGGGTGCAGCTGCTTCATGCCCACCTGCAAGGGTGCTTACAGGGCTCTGGTTTGTCAGTCTATAGAGCTGCTCACAGAAAACCGGGAACTTTGTACAAATTGACAATAACCCTTCATCATTTAGAAGCTGACCCTTTTAGGAGTCGCTTACATCATAGGAAGGTGGTACCTTAAAGTAAAGTAGTGTTTGGAGGACAGTCACTTCAGAGGAATTGTGGGCCGGAGGGTCATTTGTCCCCTTGCCTGCCATTTTCACTATTTCTAAAGCTCTTAAGGATCTAGTCACAGAGCCTCACGTGTTTTGCATTACGATATTTAACTCAATGTCGGTGCCACAGAAGCAGTGCCTCCTTCAGGCCCTCACTTAGCGCTTATCAAGGGGCTGTTGGGTGCACATCTTGCTGGATCTGTGTGATAAACCATCTGGATTCCGTCTCTGCTCTCCAGACTCCCGTCCAGTGCAGGGGTCAGCAGACTGCACCTGCAGGCCAAGGCCCCCACCACCTATTTTGCATCTAAAGTTTCACTGGAGCACAGCCCTGCCATCCCTCCAGGTAGTGTCTATGGTGGGGCTGAATCAGTGCCACGGGACCCTGTGGGCTCCAAACCTAAAATAATCACTTTCTGGTCCTTTGCAAAAGGGCCCTTTTGCAACCCTTTCCAGTTCCTAAAGTGGGTCACAAGCTTTCTCTCGCCCACACGTTTTGGCTAAACCTGTTGAACTCATCCTCTCCCCCAAAAGTTTCTAATGAAAGAGGTGCAGAGATGCCAAACGTCTGCAGCTCTTTGGATGACCCTAGAGCAAGTGGCGCTGGACCACACTCGGGAAAAGCCCTTCGAGAACCACAGGCATTAATCAAAGAATTACAATGGCGTGGCTTTTTTTTTTTTCTCAGCATTAAGCTACAATCCATGCTTCAAGCCCACGTTTGACAGCCCGGCTCCTCAGAAGTTGCCTCAGCTATTTGAAGGCGGCACCCTCTGGGTAAAACAATATTTGGAGAAGAGATATTTCAGAAGAGTTATGGGCCAGGGGTTATTTTACTCACCTTATCTCCCGTTATGAATACATAGAAGCCTTTCAAGAGGCTGGTAATAACACCACACATTACTTTAGGTTTCAGTCCCAGTCCAGCCCGGCCAGGGTTCACTGGCAAGGCAGCTGGGCCTCTGGAGGGAGGACAATGGCGTACCCCATCTGCAATCCCATGGTGCAATGGTGCAGGAGGGCCAGTTGAACAACTGGGACAGGTGGGAGGCGAGCCAGGGCCCACAGAGCCGCTGCCCTCCTCCCATCTCGCCCACCGGCAAGGCGGCCCCAGCTCTTCGTCCACTCCTGCCCTGCAGAGCATGATGGCCAAGTCCTCTCTGGGCCCTGGTGTCCCCACCCATGTCCACTAAAGATCAAAGCAGAGAAGAGACCATCTTAATGATGGAGAAGAAGCCAGTGTGAAGTAATCATTATGTGCAAGCACCAAATTTGGCCGAGTGTCCTAAAAGCTAGAGTGAAAAATTAAATGAATCACCAAGTGCGAGTATCAGGCCCTGGGCCTGAGGTAGGGTGAGTCCAAGTGGAAGGGCTGGTGCAGAGGCAGCCTGTGCTTTCCAGAATGTGCACACGGGCACGTCTCCACCCTCACCATGCCCAGGGGCACCTGCCATTACTTGACATCTAATGGCCTCAAATGCCAATTTTGGCTGCTGTTCTCAGAACCCTGATGTTGCCCAAAGTAATCCAGTGAATTCCATCAGCTTTGGGTTCTAATAATAACCTTTTTTAGAACATTACAAGATGAGGATTTAATTGCTTTAATTAGTAATTCAATGACATCATGACTGGGAAGATCTTATTTTGAGAGCAAAGCGTCCCATGATGCAGAGTGAGATTATTTTGGGTCTCCTGCAGCGTGTCTTTGACGGCTCGCCATTCTGAAGTCTCACAGAACATGTGAACCATAACTAACACACAAACACAAACTCCTCCTTTAAAAATACTGCTTCGTTTCCAAATAGCTTAAACGCTGCATCTGAAGCCAAGAGGGCCCGACTCTATAATTAGGCAGGGATTGTCATCTGTCTTCTTTCAGTTATTTTCTCTCTGGTTATTACTTGGCAAAAGTGGCATGGCCAACAGGTGTCACACCTGACCTCCCTCCTCAGAGCCAGCTGCTGGGCATCCTGCATGACGGCTGTACATTAGGTGTACACAGAAAGTCAGGGGTTTGCTTCTAGCTGGAAGGAAAAGAATCCCTGCAGCAGGCAGGGTCACCCCGAGGCCGACGGGTTCAACCTGCTGCAGACACCACTCCGCACAATATCGCAAAGAGTGCTCTCCGCCCCAGAGTGCTCTCCGCCCAAGGCCCTGATGAGTCGCCAGGAGGTTGAGCAGGTGGCCAATACTCCCCGGCCTTGGGGAGTCACCAGTTACTTGCTTCTTTGTATTTCCTTAGAAATCCTGGTTTCATATGGGGCCATCTTATCAAAAGCTGAATCCAAAGAAGATAGCTTCAGGATCTGATCTGATGCCACAGYTGAGGAGGTGACAAGGACGAAGTGCATGGTCCCTGCACATCTGGAAAGTATGTCTTCCAGACACTGTCACAGGCACTGTGAGAATTCACTCAGAATCACGCACCACGCCAGCCTCTGCCCTCCATGGTCATATGGCCCTGCCCTCTGGGTGTCCCTCTGTGTGTCCCTTATGAGGACCCTGCCACTGGAGAGCACTAACTTAACTACACCCTCAAAGACTCTTTATGCAGACAAGGTGATGTCCCCAGCTCCCGAGGCAGGGA